CCGTTCCCGCGGCTCCCGGCGCCCCCTGGCGGACACTCGGCAGCTGCGCGGGCTGGTGGCCTCAAACCCTGTCCGAGGCGGTGGGTGCCCAAGTCTCCCGGGCCACGACCCAGGGTCTGTCACCGTCCCAATGCTCTGCGCAGGGGCCCAGCTGAGTTCCGCTGGGTGACTCCCTCCCTGCGTGGCGCCTTCCCTCTCTGCTCCCCTTTCCGAGGCCCTGGATCCCCATGGATGGTTGCCAGCGCCCGAGGGCCTCCGAGCTTCCTTCCTTATCCGTAAACAGTTAAGATTTAGTCGATTCTGAAACGGAGTCTCAGGGGCGAGGCAGGCGCCATAGCTAACGTCTCGATGCCGGGCACACTCACAAATGCTTTCTACACCTATGTTATGTCGTTGAGTGTTCAGAAAAAGCTCTGTGGCACACGCATCGTCATCATCCCCATTTTAGACGAGGAAACGGGCAGCACTTAGCTGGCCCTAGGCGAATGACTGGGACTGCGCTTCGCGCGTTCCAACAGTGTGTGCCTCCCACATTCGTCGCAGATAAATTTCTGCGCTTCCGACCTCGACATCCCGAAAGCGCTCTGATTTCCATAATTCCAGGATTGGAACATCGAGACGCCAACCGTTCTAAGATTGGAATGTCTTGCGCCAAATCCGCCACTGACCGTTTCTTTTTCAAGAAAACTGGATTATCAGAAAATAAAAAATAAAAAAATAATACTCAGATTAAAAAAATATATTCCTGGGCGGCCGGGAAAGGTTTGGAGACGGATAGAGTCAGGAACCTAAATCCCGCCGCCGCCGGGGATCCGCAAAGAAGGGTGGAGCCATTTACCCTTTATCAAGATGGCTGACCGCCCGCCCCTTTGCCTCTCCAGCCACTTTACCAAGATGGCAGCCACCGGAAGTGACTCTCGGAAGTGGGCGGGACGTCTGCGCGCGCATGCCTCAAACCGGATTTCCGCCTCCTGTAGCCGCATTCTTCCTCTAACAAGATGGCGGCGGGGAGCAGTGGTGGGAGCGACGAGCTCTGCTCGAAAAGCGAGGCCGATTCCGGCTTCTTGGGGCTGCGGCCCACTTCGGTGGACCCGGCCCTGAGACGGCGGCGGCGAGGCCCAAGAAATAAGAAGCGGGGCTGGCGGCGGCTCGCTCAGGAGCCTCTGGGGCTGGAGGTTGATCAGTTCCTAGAGGACGTGCGGCTGCAGGAGCGCACGAGCGGGTATGCGGGGAGTGACTTCCGGCGATTGGGTTACGTGTTGTGTGGCCGGGGGCAAGGCCGAGCGAGCTTCGGGGTAACGGGGGGCGGTGGGAGGCGCTGGGCTCACCTGTCGGGGTACTCTTGGCGAAGTCGAGAGCGTGGGCGGTTGTCTCTTGGTGGGTGACTGGGGGACTTGGTGGGGTTGCCAGATAAATTAGAATTCAGGTAAACGACGAGTATTGTAATTTTCTAGTGTGTGTACGTCCCATGCCCCTACCTTAGCTTAGTGCATTTTAAGTATTAGGTTCTGTAAACCAAAGGGAGATGCCTTAGCCTTGAGGGACCCCATGCCGGTAAGAGGATGCTGGAATGAGCATGGAAGGAAAGCTGGGGCCTGAGAGGTTAAGCCTAGCCCTTCAGCAGCATCTGGCTCCCTCCCCAACATCTGTAGCTGACATTCTGCATTTTCATTTCTCAGTGGCTTGATATCAGAGGCCCCCGATGAAAAACTCTTCTTCGTGGACACCGGCGCCAAGGAGAAGGGTGAGGAAGGGCTTTCGTGGTGTTACATGGTGATGGTTGGTTGTCATCTAGCCTACCTCAGCCTCCGAGAGGATTTGTGTTAATGCCATCCATGGCTTAGGTGGCAAACACCTGCCGAAAAGGGGCCTTACTATAAACAAGAGGACTCAGAATGAACAGAAAGTAGGCCAGAGACTAATTTAAGTCAGATCTTCTTTGTGAGGTATCAGAGATCTCAATGCATTCAAAAGCCAGTAAGGGTCTGCCTTGATGAGTGGATGTCATAAAATAGTAGGTCTCTTTAATTTTCAGAAAAGCAAGTCAAGGACCTGCTGTGAGGAATTCAGCCAGTTTTAGTTAATAAAATGCTTTGATAAGAAGCAGAGGATCCACTTTAATGAATGGATGAGAAACTTGTCTTAACCTGCTTGTTGTAATTTGCCAAAATGCAGGGTTGGGACGTGCCGAAACAGGTGGAGGATCAGGGATTGTTGGGGTTTACGTCACTATCTGGAAAACCAGACTAAGGCTAGGCAGGCTGTTTTGACAAGGAGATAGAGAACAATCTAAAGGATCTGCTTTAATGGGAAAGATGTTAGCGCTAATAAGCTATTGGCAAGCTGCTTTAATAACAGGACATTGTTAATGATCCCTTATGAGATCAGTTAAGGGACACGTTTTAACCAAAGCAAATGGATCCGTTTCAGTGAGCAGAAAAAGCGAGGCTTTGTTTTTAGACACAGATTTTGAGCAGCTGAGAAGGGTTTATTAAAGAGCTTGACTTTCACAGAAGTCAGTAGATCTGGGCCGTAGACAGAAAGGGTAACTCAGGGACCAGTCCTGGTGAACACATGAAGTAGTGAAGGCCTCTGGCCACTAGGAAGTCTTTGGGGAACAGCAGAGGCCGTTTATAGATTCTACTTTAGATTTTTTTTTTTAAAGGCATGTAATAGCGATTGTGCACTTTCACAGGTGATCGCTATGCTTCACACTCTTGAAATAGTTGCCTTCCCAGACGGCTCTGCGAGGTGGGTGTCGGCAGTCTCGTTTGGGAAGCAGAGCAAAGTCACTTCACAGGGTCTTACAGTAAATGGAGGGACATGGGTTGTGTCTTAGTATGTTCTGTCCTTAGAGTTCTTGCTTTTTACTGTTAGGTTTTAGAAATCAAAGACGGAAACCCTTGTGCTGAGATTCGCCCATCTCGGGCCCTGAGTCCGGCTCCCTGGGCCACAGTGTTGGTGGCCACCTGCTTTCCCTTTGTCAGTGTTGCTGGTTTTTTGTAGCTGTCCCCCTGCTGTGTCTGGAAGCCCTTTGTATGCAGGGCTGTGGGTACAACTCTTCCCAGCACAGGGTTGCTTCCAGGTGGCCCACGACATGCGTGTGGTTCCGGGTCAGAGCTTGGGTGCTCTGGGCTCTGTCCTTGGGGGCCTCTGTCCTCAGGTAGGAACCCGGAGTCAGCCTGGAGCCTCCGAGTCTGCTGGATGCAGGTCTGATGGTTCCAATGGAGGTATAAGGAGCGGGGTGCAGAGTTGGCTTTGGGATGTGAGGAGGCCTGAGGCCTTGGTCCTCTCCTTTCTCCCACCCCCAGAGCGGAACAAGACAAGGATCAAGGGCCAAAAGAGGTCACTGCTTCTGAAGAAGCCCCTTAGGGTCGATGTCCTCCTGGAGAACACATCCCGGATCCCTGCCCCCAAAGAGTGAGTGTCCTGCCACCCGCGGACCCTTCTTTCCCTCTGGACTCAGGCCTTGTGCTCTGTGTGCAGCAGCCCCCACTCCCCGGCCCTAAAGGAAGTACTGGCCAGGGAGGGGGCAGGGGGCTAGGTGAGGGGCACTGGGAGGGAGGGGAGGGGTGGGGTCAGGTTTGGGCTTTGGAGAGTGGATTGGAGGGTGTGAGGGCGCTGGGGGGCTGTGGCTGAGGCAGGTGAGGATGGGGCCTGGACCTGGCTGGGGACCTTGGGGATGGAGAGGACGGGATGGGTGGGAGCCGTCGTCAGGAGGCGGATCAGGCGGGCTTAGTGCCTGGCCCCTGAAGGCGGGGATGTGGGGAAGGACCGGCTGTGCGGGCGATGCCGATGACATCAGTGTTGAGGTGTGCGAGGTGCCCGCAGCCTGGGAGACTGAGGACGGGGGCCCCGGAGGCCACTGTGCTGTTGGGTCTGGGCTTCGGGGGAGAGGCCTGGGCAGCACCCGGACCTGGGGAGACGCTCTCTGGAGCTGCTGGGGAGGCAGCTGCCCCGTGGAGGGTGCTTGGGGAGGAGGTGCTGCCGGCGGAGCGGACAGGGAGCCCGGCCTCTGCCTCACCCGCTTCACCTGTGCCGCTCCTCCCCGTCCCAGCATCCTCGCCCACCAGGTCCCCAACGCCAAGAAGCTCAGGCGGAAGGAGCAGCTATGGCAGAAGCTGGCCGAACGGGGCGAGCTGCCGCGGGCGGGGCGCAGGGCGCAGGCCCGGCTCCTGCGCCCTCCCACAGGCGGAGCCCGGCCCGGGCCCCCGGACGCTGCAGCGCGGCCCTTCTACGATCTCTGGGCCGAGGACAGTGAGTGCTGCTGCTGTCACCCGGGGGTGGGTGGTCGTGCTGGTGAGGCACCCCAGCTGCACCATGATCTCTCCTGCCTCAGCGCCACCGTCATGAAGGGGGTGGGCTTGGGGGGAGCCCCTCAAGGCCGCGGCCCTCCCCCACGCTGCAGAGCCCCCAGCAGCCGCCCTTGCTGCCTCCATAGACCCGTTGGAGCGGCCCCTGGCTGGCCAGGACGCGTTCTTCCTGGAGCAGACCAAGAAGAAAGGTGTGAAGGTGAGTGTCCAGCGGGCGTCTGGGCGATGGGGTCGGAGGTGGAGCGGGGACAGTGGGGCCGTGGCGCCTCGGTTCCAGTGCCCGCCTGTCCTGTGACCCAGAGCTCACGTGCTAGAGGCAGGCGGCACGCGGCCCGTGGTGCCGGGAAGGCGGAGCAGGGTGGGGACCTGGGGGAGCCTGGCACGATGGAGGGAGCGCATCCCGGTCTTGGAGTTTCATCCTGCGGTGTCTGTGGGCACGGGCGAGGGCCTGGGTGGCCGCTCCAAGGAGGCGGGGTTGACGTGGCTGGGAGACGACCCAAGACTAAGTTCCTGGGCAGAGACAGCAGGACTGGAGGCAGTGGGCGTGGGGGGAGGACGAGGGCAGGGGTGTCCAGGGGACCCCCAGCTTCTGCTGGAGGCGGAGGGCCTTGGCTGGGGGGAAGCCGGATAGCAGGGGCCCAGACGGCAGGGACGAGGAAGGTCCAGGGTGGAGGGAGGCGCTGCCGGCCACTGCTGCCCAGACCTCGAGTTACTAGGCCGTTGTTACGACGCTGATTCTGACCAGCGGGGTCTGGCCGGGCCCAGGGGGCCGCACCACAAGTCCGTCGCCCATGACCCGTCTGACATGCTGCTGTTGGTTTCAGATATGCTGCGGTGACTAAAACTTAGGCCCCTCGCACCACATGACTTTGCCAGCGTCCCCCACCGCTGCCCACCGTGGGGGCCCCAGGCCCTCTCCAGGAAGGGCGGGCAGAGGCCCTGCCTGCGGGAGCTTGCTGTCCTGGGGGTGTCACTCGGGCCACCAGGGTTCCAAGGCTGTGGGCTGCCCGTGGGGTCCCCGCCCCACAGCTCGTGACAGTGTGAGCCTGGGCCCCGGGCTCCTGGGCCTGACCTGCCTTGGTCTCCTCCTCCAGCGGCCACCGCATCTCCACGTCAAGCCCTCGCAGGCGCCCGCCGTGGAGGTGACGCCCGCCGGCGCCTCCTACAACCCGTCCTTCGAAGACCACCAGGTACGCGCCCCAGGCCCTGGTTGGCGTGCCCTCACTTTTTCTGTGCCCATCCAGAGGTGGGGACTTCGCAGTGACCAAGACAGCCCTGGGCCTGCCCTCCTGGGGCTGACGGTCCAATGGGGAAGACAGACGTGTTCCTAGACAGTGACAACCCAGAGTAGGCAGGACCAAGATGGGGGAACTCAGAAGGGTCACCAAACCCAGCCCCGGCAGTTAGGGAGGGCTTCCTGGAGGAGGGGGCGTCAGAGCTGAGACTGAGGGGCATTTGCTGTAGGAAGGCGGGAATGGGTATTCCAGGCATGGGTGCAGCGTGTGCAGAGGCCCAGAGGTGAAGAAGATCATGGCACCTTTTGGGGTCCACAGGACGTAGACACAAGATGACATGATAAACTATTAGCAAACTGTGTCACCAGGTGAGGCTTCTCCAAGGCTGAAGCCTCAAGTTTACAAAAGCCTACGGTGAGAGTCACTTCGTCTCGCTGGTGTTCGTTGAGCACAAGTGTCATGGACAGGAGGGACAAACCCCCTGCCCTCAGGGAGCACAGGTTCCCAGAGAGAAGTCAAGGTCATTGAGTAGATGCGGGACGCGCATGGTGCACGATTAGAGGGTCTCTTAGAGGGTCTCGGCTGGCCAGGCATGGCCCTCCCAAGGGCGGTGTCTATACCAGCATCTAAATGGCAAGCTCGGCCACTGGCTGCTGTCCGTCCCCGTGGGACTGACGTGGCGAGGGTGCTGGGGAGACGGAGGAAACGAGACAATCGGTCTTTTCATTAATGCTTTGTGGACGTACAGTCCCCGTGCCACGTGATTCGTCCTCTTACAGGACGCCTCGGTAGGTTTTAGTGTAGTCACAGCCGTGCGGTTACTATGACGATTTTGGAATATTTTTTATCACCCCAGGGAAGAAGCCTCACGTCCGTCAGCTGTCACCCCCTTGCTCAGAGTTCCCTTCTGCCTTAGGCAGTTATCACTCTATCTCCTGTCTCTATGGATTTGACATTCCTGGGTGTTTCATATAAATGAAAATGGTGTGTGGAGACCAGACTGTCCTTTATGGCAGGGGTCCCTGATCCCCGGGCCGTGGACCGGAATCAGTCCATGGCCTGTTAGGAACCAGGCCACAGAGCAGGTGAGCGGCAGGTGGGCCAGTGAAGCGTCATCTGTATTTGCAGCCGCTCCCCAGCGCCACCATCACCACCTCAGCTCCGCCGGCATTAGATTCTCATAGGAGCTCTGGTCTCTGGTGCCACAAAGGTTGGGGACCGCTGCTTTAAGGAAACCAGCTGGGCCGCGGGGGGTTAAGGGTTAGAAAGTTCTGACCACTGTGGGGAGTGTAGCGTGATGCTGCAGCTGGGGAACCAGACAGATGACAGGCACTGGGGACAGGCAGATGGGAGACTGGAGGGCCAGGTCTGTAAGCCCCAGGGGAGGCCCCCCCAGGGCCTTGGTCCTCGCCTCACCCCGCACTCCCCCCAGACCCTGCTCTGGGAAGCCCATGAGGTCGAGCTGCAGCGGCAGAAGGAGGCAGAGAAGCTGGAGCGGCAGCTGGCCCTACCCACCGCGGAGCAGGCCGCCACCCAGGTGAAGCTGCCCCGCCCCGGACCACCCTCCCTCCTTCCCTGGGCCTGCCAGCCACCACCTCCCCCCCGCCCCCCCGCAACCTGGCCCCTGACACACTCTCCCTCCCCCAGGAGTCAACCTTCAAGGAGATGTGCCAGGGCCTGCTGGAGGAGTCAGATGAGGAGGATAAGGACGGGGAGCCGGGCAGGGGCCAGGACAGGGGGCCCGAGGCCGGAGGAGACCAGAACGGAGGAGCCGAGGCGCCGGCCACGCCTGCCCGCCTGGCCGCTGTGGACAAGAAGACGGAGCAGCAGCGGCGGCGGGAGAAGGCCGCCCGGATGCTGGTGAGCCCTGTGGGCTCGGGTCTGCTCTCCCTGCTCCCGCAGCCTGCTTTCTTCTTTCTCCAGCCTGCTTTCTGTCATCCCTGCCACGTGCTTTTGTATGCCCTTTGGAATCTGCAGGTGGCCTGCCAGCTGACTTTCCCAGCGCCCTCCAGGCGCCGTTCTGGGTTCAGGGGCTACGGTGGGGCACACGCTAGTCCTGCTGTTCTGGGGCTTGCTTGGGGGTGGGATGTCGGGGCCGCTGACGAGCAGACGTGTGAGGAAGGTCGTGGGAAACCATGGCTGGGGAGAAACGAGCAGCTGCCCCGATGTGACGTGAGGGGATCAGGGAGCCGGGACAGGCCCCGGAGAGGGTGTGGGAGGGGCCCTGGGCGGAGGGCGGTCCCCGCGGGGCCGGATGGTGCTGGCTGAGCCCGACCCCGCCGTCCCGCAGCGCATAGAGCAGGCAGTGGTGCGGGCCGCCCGGCTGCGGCGCCAGGAGCTCTTCAGACTGCGCGGGATCAAGGCCCAGGTGGCTCAGCGGCTGGCGGAGCTGGCGCGGCGGCGGGAGCGACGGCGGGCGCGGCGGCTGGCGGAGGCGGACAAGCCACGCAGGCTGGGGCGGCTCAAGTGAGGCCTGGACGGGGGCGGGGCCCGATTCCCTATCCCGGTGCCTTCCTGCCTGTGCCTGTGCCTGGCCGGGTCCCAGACCCCCTGTTCCCAAAAGCCCCGCCCCCCCAGGGGCCCTTGCGCTCTGCCTTCGGCCAGGCCGACCCGAACGCCTGCCTGTCTTCCCCAGGTATCAGGCCCCCGACATCGACGTGCAGCTCAGCTCCGAGCTGCCGGACTCGCTCAGGACCCTAAAGGTACTTGCCACCCGGGGCAACGTGCTGTGGGGAGCCCTGTGCCCAATGATGACACCCATCCTTGCTCCCCGTGCCCCTCAGGGGCTGTGGGCGACACCATGGCTGCCCCAGGCAGGGCCGGTTGGGCTGCTGCCGGGGGCTGAGGGCACGGGGTCCCGGGGTGGGGATCCCCAGGGCCGAGGGGCCAGGTGATGTGAAGCTTGAAGCTGTGACCCTCAGAAGGCCTTGCGTCTCAGCCAGGTCATCATGGCTCCTGGTCTCCCGTCCTGCTCTAGAGCTGAGAATAGATCTTGTTTCTTCTCCACTCGGAACCTTTTGGGGCTCCAGCACCCCCTCCCCCCCTCCAAACCCTAGCTTCTGCCCCACTGCTCTCTCTGCCCCGCCCGGCCTTGCCCACTCTGTCACCAGCCTCCTTCCTATGGTTTCTCCAAACCCAGCCGAGACGCAGGCCCTGGGTTGGCACCCGTCACCCACGAGCACAAGGCCAGCGGGGTTTTTGCTGGTGGGGAGATCGCAGGGGGCCGAGTCCCGGTGAACCCACGGCCTGCTGAAACCCCTCCTGTGTCCCCCTCCTGTGCCCCGCAGCCCGAGGGCAACATCCTCCGTGACCGTTTCAAGAGCTTCCAGAGGAGGAACATGATCGAGCCCCGGGAGAGAGCCAGGTGAGGCCGGGCTGCCGTGGGAGGTGGGGCCTGCGCCGCGGGCGCGCTGGGCACTGACCGCTTGCCTTTCCTCCAGGTTCAAGCGCAAGTACAAAGTGAAGCTCGTGGAGAAGCGGGCGTTCCGGGAGATCCAGTGAGCGGCGCCCCCTTTACCCGCCCGCTGGTGTCCACTGCGTCCCTGGGCCCATCTCAGGCCTGGTGACTGGCATTGCTTGGGTGGGGGAAGGTCAGCCCACCAGATGCGCCTGAACCCAGAGTTGGGATGAGGGGTCCCCAAATGAAAATGGAAGGGCCCAAGCCAAAGGGGGATGTCAAGTGGGCGAGAATGTGGGACCCCACTCCCCTCATCCACCGTCAGCCCCTCCCTCTGTCCCCAGGTCATAGTTGCCGCTGGATGCCAGAGCCCCCACCCCTCAATAAAGCACCTTCTTACTGGCACCTGGGCCTGGTGTGTGATTCGTCACGTGTTGTGGGCAGCTCTCTGTCTCTGGTGGGAACTCAGGTGTGGCAGAGGGCCGCCCCACAGAGGCAGGGTGGGCAGCTGTCCCCGGAGTACGGAAGGGGACCAGTTGGGCTGGTTGGGGGAGGGGCGGGGAGAGGAAGTGAGGTCCGTGCTGGGTCTCTGTTGGGATAGTCACTGCTTTCGGCCCCAGGTGACAGGCAGGTCTCGATGACAGCACTGTCACATCGGCAGTGGCAGCGGCTAATGTTGGCTGAGCCCCTCCTATGCTTGCAGACCGTTACTCGGCCCTCACGGCTGGAGTTTACCCCATTTTAAAGGCGAGGAGACAAGCGCGTCCCGCGGGTAACTGTCTCCCTCTCCCCCACACCCATTTACTGTCTTGAATCCTTAATTCTGCAAGTAATAAAGGGCTGTCCTCGTTAGAAGTTATCGATACGGTGCATAAAGATACCAAAAACCACGACTGTCACCCTTGATTTTCGCCCTCCATTCACACCCGCGCCCCTCCGCAGAGGTGGCTGTCACCGCAGGCTGGGGTGAAGGGTACCGTAACATACTGCGTGATTCTATTAAATTGCTCACACGTGCGTGTGGAAACAGAATCGTTCCGACTTTTCCGTGTCCTGGATCGAAGGCGCCGCCACGTGGTTTCTGACGTGCGTCTCGGTGCGTCTCAGGGGACTTCCGGTGTGCGCGGCGCTTCCTCGTCCTTTTTCACAGCTGCGGAGGCTTCCACTCTCCCGGCGCCCGGTTCCTTCATCCAGGCCCGCGCTGCGCCTCCTGGTGGCGCCGGAGTGAATAGCTGTGCACATGTCGTTTCACGTGTCTATAGGACAAGAACCTAGAAGTGAATCTCTGGGCTAAAGGAACAGTGTCTCTGAGGGGTCATTTGATGGATTCAGCCAAATCGCCTTCCGTGTGGGCCGTGCCAGTTTCTCTTCCCCAACAGTGTAGGAGCCCACTCATTTGCCCAGGGCTTCCATACTGGGTGCTCTCCCTGCGTTTGCTTATTGTTCCTGGTTGCCAGTGAGGTCGAGCTCATGGTCACTGGCAGTTTCTTCCTCTTTGAGGGTTCCAACCTTTGGACCATTTTCCTCCTGAGCTGTGTGGGATTTTCTTGTTTATTCGTAGCAGCTCTTTATTTGTTATGGACCTGAAGTCCATCATACATGTTAACAAACATTTCTCTCAAGCTAGTCCTTTTGATTTTGTAGAGGGTATATTTTGTCAGAAGTAGTATTTGGTGTTTCTAATTCTGTTGGTCTTTCTGTGTTTTTTATTGCAGCTTTGGGAAGGTTTTTTCAGGACAAGATGTTTATAAAAATAGAGCAAGTAATTTATGACAGGCATGGATGAAGGGAGAGACTAACGTCAGAGCCTCCCCTCACGATTCATAAAACATCATGACTTTAAGGAATGTACCTCTCTCTACCGTCTTAAAAAAAGGAAAATAACAACAACAAAAAATAGCTCTGTGTGTGGGAGGGTATAGGAGATAGTAGGTCAGGGTGAAAATAAAAGCCACTCAGGGTCTGCTAAAGAGCCTCAAGCCTTGGCCTCTGACCCAGTGGTCTGAAGGAACCTACCGGAAGGGCAGAAGCTAAGTGCCCGAGATGACCGTCAGAGCGTCCATCAAATACAAGGACAGGGCAGGGCAATCACAGCCACTCAAGGGCAAGTTTTGCAGCCCGGAGAGCAGGCAGGGTCCTCAGGAAATTCACACTGCTTTATTGCCTGGGGAAACGCGTCTCTTCCCGTGTGTGCCCAAAACGGGCTCTGTGACAAAGGCAATCGTGCATGCAATTGCAAGTCACATCTAATTTCGTAGCAAAAGAAATATTAAAAATGCCGTACTCCATCTAGTTAAACGATTTGCAAGCCGAACTGATGCCTGCAACATCCTTTGAAATGCAGAAAACAATGGGGTCACTGGCTGGATGGACGGGGTGGGGGGGATGGGGGGGATAGACAGGTGCCGGATGCATCAAAAACAAGTACAGTGAAATGCGGATGGTGGCTTCTAGGTGACGGGGTATGTGGAAAACGGCTTTGCTATTTAAAATCTGTTCCTAATAATTATTATGGAAAAAGCACATTGGAGATTAAGTGACGCGAATGGAGCTTGAGCGTTTGGCAACTTATTTGTGCTGGTTCCTTCCAAGGCCCTCGACCCTCTTTTGGAATGTGTGACCTTTTCCCCCAAGTTATAAAGCTTCGGGTACCGCAAAACCTAGATCTGCTTCTGATAGCGATGTAAAACGCATTAGACCACCCACCCACCTGCTGGGTAATGGCTGAATAAATGCTGGTACACTTATTCGTGTGAGTGTGACTTGGGCTATTAAAAAGATGGAGGCCGTCTGTGGGCAGCGGTGTGGGATGGAGAAGTGCCCGGACCTGGTTCAGATCCCGACTCTTACTGGCCGTGTGACCTTGCGAAGGTTACTTGCCCTCTCTGTGCTTCACGTGAACGTAATGATCAGGCCCACCTCCCTGGGTATCACAAGGACTAAGTCTGCATGTGGACGCTTAGAACAGGGCCTGGCATAGAGTAGGCCCTAAATGAGCATGTGCTATTAAAACAATGTTAGGAAAAAAACAAAAATGGCTTTCAAAAAAAAAAAGAAAAAAGCGTGGAAACTTGCGATCTGTGCCAAAGGCCCCGCACAAAGACTTACCTTCTGGCCCAGTGATTGCATTCCTGGGACCGTGTCCGAAGGAAGTGGCCGGAAACGGGGGAAGCATGATGCAGAGGGAGGTCCCGCAGAGTGCCGTATAGAATGGGAGGAAACGTGGTAATAATGGTTTGGGGGGCAGGCCCGGCCCCTCGGGGGAGGGAGACCTCCACCACCGCTACCCCAGGGCTGGGGGTCACGTGTAAGAACCCGGAAGTGCTTATGTCCTGATGCTTCGTGGACAAAAAGCAAACAGGATCTGCTGCTGTCCACTCCGGGCTCGTCACGCTGACCCCGTGCCCGAGGTCTCTGGGGCGGGGGCTTCCAGGGGCTGCTTTCTCCTTCTTGTGACTTTTCCCAGCTTCTTCAACTTTTCTATAATGGAGAAAACTTTTTAAATTGTGGACAGAGAGTCCTCCTCATATGCAAAGATGTCTGCTACTGTACTGTTTGGAAGATCAGAAACTGTCTAAAGATAAAACAGTAAGAAATGGGCTTTTCCGAGTGGGGTGTCTGTCCTTGGGATATTTCACCACCGTATAAGACAATTTCAGCTTTTGGGAGGATTTTTACTGATCTGGGGAAATACGCTCTCTCGGAGAACTATTAAATGGGGACAGGACATAACAGTAGACCGCAGACTAGTTTAAACTGTATGTCAACACGGACACAGAAGGGGCACCTGGGAGGATCACACAAAAGTCCATGGACCACGCTCAGATGGTGAATGGTGGTGGCTTGTTAATCTCTTCCTATATCCGCTTTTCTGTCCCTTCATTTCCTCCCCGATCTTCATTTTGGGGGACGCTGGTGGGCTTGGCTGACCTCCACCCTCCTCCCAGCAGAGGCTGGAGCAGCCAGTGCACTTCCCAGATGCCTTTGCAGCTAGATTCAGAACAGGCTCCAGCAGTGACTGTCCCTCCAGAGAGGTAGGTGGCAGAGGTGATCCAGGGGGACAGCCAGGACTTTCTCCAATCCACTTAGAGCAGGGGTCCCCAATCCCCGGGCCTGGCCGCAGACCGGTACCAGCCCAGAGGTGATCCAGGGGGACAGCCAGGACTTTCTCCATTCCATTTAGAGCAGGGGTCCCCACCCCCGGGCTGGGCCGCAGACCGGTACCAGCCCCTGGCTCGTTAGTAACCAGGCCGTACAGCAGGAGGTAGGCCAGCCAGCGAAGCTTCGTCTGTATTCGCAGCCCCTTCCCAGATCCTCAGACTTAGGTTCTCGTGGGAGCACTGGTTCCTGGTGCCACAAAAGTTGGGGACTGTTGACTTAGAGAGGCCAGCCTTAGGCAAATGCAGCAGGAGCCCAGACGGACAATGGAGGGCGCCTCCACCCCGTCGTGCCTTACCTGTCCCACATGTTCATGGGGGAGGGTGTTGACCGATGCCCCAGACGCTGGAATGGCACGTAAATCCAGCAGGCCAGAAACCTGGCCACGTTGCAGATTCCTCCCTTCCCTTTAAGGATGATGTCATTTTTAAAATTCATACTTTTTCCACATGTAAGAAGCTCTCTCTGTCCCAGGTCCTTGTTCTGGTCCTAGTGGGCCAGATGTTATTGTGACCCCCTTTTTTACAGCTGAGGAACCTGAAGCACAGACAAGGGGAGTGACCCGCCCAGGTTAGGCGGGACGCAGGAGCCGGAGCTCAGGGGACTGGGCAGGGAGAGACGGGTGGTCGCGTGTGGGGATGGAGGCCTCTGAGGCAGTGGGCGTGGGTACCAGGAGCCGAGTGTTGACAAAGCGGGGGAGGAGAGAAGATGGGGAGGTGGAGAAGGGAGGATTGAGGGCCGTAAGGGTGGCCCGGTGGCCCGGACAGGGCAGGAGCGCGCGGC